AAGTAACTATTATAACACATTGCTCCACGAATTAATTTAATTAAGTTATTAATAAATTAAATATTATTTTTTATTTTTTAAAAACTTTTAAAAATACAAATTTAAAAAAACCATAATTTTTTTTATTCACATTAAAAAATGATTTCTTTATTGCAGAAATTAGGTTCGGACAACTGGTGTGTGTCGAGTTGGCTGGAATTGGAATCCAAAGTTTGTCCTTCCGAGCGTAGCAGAAGATAAATCTTTTGGGTGCACGATTATTTGGATGATAAGTACATGGGAAACAGCTGCTGCATGTACGTAGATAATATTCTTTATCTTTAATTGAAAAGGGTTATTTATTTATTTTTTTTTCTTTCTTTTGAACGTGGAGTGAGGAACGTGGGTTTTTGTTTTTAGGTTGTGGGTAGGAATTAAACTCATCAATAATTAAATTTAAACATTAAGATTTAAAGATAAATTATTAAATTTAGAAACTCGATTTATCTTTAATTCAAAGGTTTAAATCCTAAAGTTAGCACTTAAAAAATTGAAAATATATTTTTAAAATTATTTTAAAAAATTAATTTTAAAATATGTGAAAATTGACCGGTTGATATTGTGGTAGAAAATATAAAAAATATATTGTTTATCTTTTCTTTTGTTTTTCACAATTATCAAATACTGTTTTTTAATTATTTGGGAAAAAAAGGGTAAGGGTATGATCACAGTATAAAATATTAAAACATCAATGTTTTAATATTTTTTTAAACAATGTATGAAAATGTAAGTTTGATGATTAATTTTAGCTTGTTAATTAATATAACATCAATTATTTTATTAATTAATAATTAATAATTACAATTATTGGTCATTTTTGTCAATTAAATTTAAAAAATTCATATTTTTAATGATAATATTTTATAAATTTTAGCTTAACATTATAAATAGTAGTCATAACCACACTAGAGAAAAAAATGCAATAGCTCCTTTTATGCTTTAAATTACTGGATATTTCTCTATTTTATCCAATCATTTTACAACCAATATTTCAATACTATTTGAACGTAAAACTTGAAATTTTAAGTCTCATAATTGAGCTTGTATTGCGCATTTTATGATCTCTAACCTGTTTTTTGATATTCAATGATCTCTAACCTCAAAATGTTCTATTTATTATGGTTGTTATCTTATTATTATTATTATTATTATTTTTGATATTGGTTGCACAATAGAAAGTAATCATCTCTTGTTCTTTATCTCATCTCACCCGCATGTCATGCGACTCGAATTCAGAATTTTTTATTTTTAGTAAAAAAAGATAACCATTGAATTATTTAAGTCGTTAGTATTTTTTTATTATTTTTAAAACTGGTTAACTCACACTAATTATAATTAGGGGACCTAAATTATTTCTTACTACTAAAACAAAATAAATAAATAATATGAAAAACCAAAAACAGTAATAACACTGAAATTCACAGTTGGGTCATGAATTTGTTGAATTGGGGAGGGATAAGAAAAAAGGATGATTTACCAAAAAAAGGAAAAAGAAAAAGAAAAAAGGATGTTTAATTTCAAGAAAGGCATGTGCCTTCGGTTTTCTTGAAGGTATTGTTGGCATCTCTTATTCTCATGCATTGGATTTGTCCATCACACAGGTGGTTCTGTCGCCGCCGAACATCAAGCCAAAGTCCAAATTGTATACGTAACATTTAATAAAGAACACAAGTCTTATCTAGTTCATGTTCATAATGCCGCAGTTTTATATTCTCTTGCTTCAAATGAAAAATAAAGGAAAAACAAAAAAAGAAAGAGAAATAACTTCATCCACATGTTAAGGTTTACACACAATCTGTGGGATTTTAATTTTAACGCATTCATAAACATGTATTTTGGTTTGAAGTCCACAGTTTGCTTGCTACAATCAACAGCACATACTAGAAATAAAAATGGTCAAACTAAATTAATTCATGGATTAATTTCATTTGATTATCTTGCCTTGGCCTTTGCCCAAGTTTTTTATTAACGAGAGTTTAACTAAGACGAGGATGGTCCATAAAGTAATTGACCATATTATTAGTATAAAAATGCTTCTACAATCATATTGTTAGGATTTAAACCATCGTTTCCCCTCTCTATCCTTCTTCTTCATAAAATTTTAATCGGTTAACTTATTTTATAAAAAACTAGATTAATTAGGTTAATATTTATTAATTTAAAAACTTTATTGACATGAGAAATACATTTTTAAAATTTTCCAGAAAAAATTAATACAAATGTGTATAAAAACAAATTTAAAAATATTTTAATCATAAAAAAAATTAAAAACATTAATTTAAAATCAAGAGGCCCAAACACCTATACTGTTAAGGAGCTACTTCAATCCGAACGTTTTAAGAAAAAGTTTTCTTTTGGACCTTACACTTACGGTCCTCTGTGGACCGACTTTCAGGCCCAAAATTGACCGAACCCTGTTTCTTGGAGAGTACAAGAACGTTGCGGCCCAGAATAAATAAGAGATAAAAACCATTTAATCCCGAAATCCAAAATGAAGGGTCCAGAGTGAAGCATTTTGCCTTCTTCCTTGACGATAAGTTTCTGCTTGAAGACCCATAAACAAGCCTACGAGAGAGCAGAAGAAATGTCTCTGATTTTGCCGTTCTCTACTTCCCGGATCGTTGCTCTACCTGGCTCCATCTCTTCTTCATCATCCTCCGGGACCCGTAATCTTGCACCGCCAAGGGTAACCAATGGTGGGTTGGTGATAGAATGCTCTTCAAGGCCAAGGAAGAAGGCGACCTCCCATCACATGAAGACAAGGCCACGCAAGTCGCAGCCATGGGACATTAAGCGCAAACCCACCGTATACGCGCCTCTACCCCCGCTCCCGCCTGACTGGACTCTGGTTCCCAGCGGTGCCAGCGATTCTGCAGATGCCGCGGAGCCTGGTTCTGCTCCACCGGCGCAGGTTACAAGTGGGTAGTTTCTTGTTTGTTGTAATGTCAATTGCCGTTCCTTTTTAAGATTCTGTGATTGATAGTCTAATTATGGGTTTTATGTTTAAATGACGAATGACATGTCTTGTAGTTGTACTCTGAGATGGAGCTTAAATTCGATCAATTGAGAATACTGGTTCTGCCCACTACCTGTTTGATTTTTTTCTTCTTAGCTGAAGTTTGTTCTCTTTTGTGATTTAGCAATTAGCACTTCCATCTACAACCAATGATCTTGCATGGCAAAACAAGAGATGATGACTTTCAAATAAAAAGGACACGTTTTAGAAACATAATCAGGCAAAATTTTAATCTCATAATTATCATGTTTCCGGCTACTGCTTGCATGAATCAAATTGGATACAAAAAGCAAGCACAATTTTGAAATGCCCCCAATATTCACAATAGTGTCATGCTCTTGAAATGATTATTCTTGTTGGGAGATTGGTTTGGTGTTTATCATTAGGGATATAGCCTTTTCATATAACCAACTTAAGTTATGTACATACCGCTCCTAGAGAACATAACTCCCTAGCGATCTTCCTAAATCAAATTCCAAATTCAATGGTCGGAGAGAAAGAGGGGATGACTGCTAATGCTTTAGTTGGCCCACCACCAACCCAACGTGAGGAGAAGAAATGTATATGATCTCACTCTCCATTTCCTAGATCATTGCTAAGCAAGTCACCTAGCGGTTGTAGCATGTCTCCACTATGGTGTTGTTGGCTGTAATCTTAAACCACTGAGGATAACGGTAGCAATCGCTTGTAGGCACAGCAAATGAAAACAAGGTGTTCAAGCCGCGGCCGAGGTGTGTAGGGCACAAAACCACTCTTAATTAAACTCAAATCTTTAATAGTTTGATTAGTTTGAGAAAAATAAAAAATAAAAAAAAATAAAAAAAGGAAAGGAAAGGAGAGATACCATTATTTTGATTAATTAAATTAAATCGTTGAACCAACAAAATAATTTAATTAATTATAATAATTTTCCCTTCTCTTCATTTCCTTTCCTTTTCCTTTTCTTTCCTTTCTCTCAAATCACAAAAGTTGTTAGACATAAGGAATAACAAGGTGAATATTGTTATGAAGGACAAATCTATATTTGTAGTTAGCAAATTTAACGAGAACTGGAAGAGCTTTAGTTATGAAGGACATGGAACAGATTTCAGGAGTTATAAATTACAATTACCATAAAAGACTAGTGTTATAAATTACAATTACCATAAAAGACTAGTTGTTCCTAGACGTTAGAACGAACATTTCGTGAACTAAGAACCAAGAAACAAGCTAAAGAAGACAGATGTTGTTCCAGACCTTTAGCATACATTTACATCAGGTGATCTAAATGTACGTTGCTGGATGCAAGACAAGAAACGAGAAAAAGTGTATACAGAACATGGGGTGCTGTGTTTCACCGACTGTCTGTATCACCCAGAAACTGCACAAGGTTAAAAGGTATAAAAGGAATCCAGCCACAACCAGATCAAGTTGGATTAAGAACATTATACATGATGAAGTCCTAAGCAGGGTTGTCCTGGAGCCAGTTATAATTACACAAGTTGGGAGGTCAGGAGTCTCTTCACAGGTGGCCCCCTCCAGGAGCCAGGAGGGGTTACTGGCTTCTAAAGCAAGTAGAAGACCCCATCTTCTGTACACCCTGAGAATATGCGGTGCTTTGGGGAGCACGGTTTCAATAATTGTTAGCAGGATTTTTTCTTATATTGGCTCTGCGCCAGACTCAAGAGGAAGTCCGTAAATATCTGTTCATACTCTGGCATTTTCCCATAGCCTGTAACATTTTTTAAAACAAACCACAAGCCAATCAGCATGTTGTCAAGGGGAATTTGAGAACTAATAAGACTACTAAGAAGAGGTGGTAAACTTGCATGGTTCTTGTCAAAATGGTCTGAATGATATATAGAATAAAAGCTCTATTTACCAGGGAAGTAATTAATGTCAATGACATAGAAATGATCTCTGGTTCCATGCTCCCGGATTATGTCTAAATTGAATAGCCTTAGTCCCTACAAAAACAAAGAAAACGTATTAAAATAGTCTAGACATTAATAACATGCAGTTCACAGGAAAATTTAAAAATAAAAAATAATGAGGTTACCAGTCCACGACGTAGTTCCTTGGCTAGTCTTTCAAGTAGAGGTCGTGGAGGAAGCTCTGCAATAGACAAAAATAAGTCTTTGAGAGCTCTGCCAAAATCTTAGAAGTAATGGTTAACACAACTTATAAAAACACCAATTCAGTTGCCATTTGAAAAAATCCTTACACAATTCAAAGAGGGTTGATGAAATGATGAGGGAACAAGAACCTGGAACTCAACATAAGTAATTAATCCAACCCACCACCAGATGATAACTTCTTCGTAGGAATTTCCGATACAGCCCCATAACTAAACATTTATATTTTATATACCAAGGATGGTCAAAAGAAGCTAAGAATGACTCACCACCAACACTGGGATCCAAATCTGCATCATCAGCAGAAGCTGCAGCGCAGGAAACCCGTGGAAACCGGAAAACACCTGCATTTTTAGAGAGCTCCCATTTGGTGACATCAGGTAAAGAGAAGCGCCTGACAACTTTTATGGCTTCCCCAACAATATAAACCTTGAAGAGAACACCTCCTGCTCAACAATGAGAAGGCAGGACTGGAATTATGAATTGCTCAGAAATCATTCAAGTACCAAGATACCACCAAAAGTGCCTTCACATACCATGGTTAACAAACTCCTGAAGCACCAGTGGAGGTTCCAATTTCCGGAGAGAATATTGATCATATGCAAGTGATAGTTCATGTGACTTAGCACTTCCATCAGCAACCAATGGTTTTGCCACTGAAACAAAAGTAGGTTCAAGTTCGATGACCAGTGCAAGGAATCACAGAGGCAAAAAAAGAAAAAAAAGAAAGAAGAAATGATAATTTTCTAAATATAAATGACAACATAATCAAGCAAAACATAATCTCATAATTCTTTTGCTCCCAGCCACAGTTTGCATGAATACTATGATGATAATACATGGATGCCTAGCATACTGTAGAACCAAATGCACAACAGATCAAGGGGCATGCATAAACCAAACACACAAAGTAGAATCACATAGGATATGAGAAAACCAAATCAGAACATGTACCTACCAAGGGGCAAGCTCAGCCCAGATTTAATAACTGCCTCAGGAATGGATGATGCATCTCTTTTGATAACTAATTGCTTGGGAACACCAACCTTCCCTGCATAACCAAGCATCAATATTCGTTTTGATCAGCATAGAGTTCATTTTCCAACCTCACAGCTGAATTTAAGCAAGTAAAAAAACAGTGGGTACTAATCTACACAAAATAAATTCAAATTACCATAGGAGTCAGACAAATTCATATCAGCAACACACTGGAGCATTGATTGTCGATTATGTAAATGTTGTATGGCATCTGGAGGATCAAGAACTGTGACCTCTGGATGTGTCTGCCGGTATTCCTATTTTTATATGAAAAAAGGGTAAGACATGGATCAGTATTGTAAATGCATTTTCCTAAACAAATATCCCAACTGAAAATACATGTTGCTTTGCAAGTTTGATCCTCAAGAAAGAGGATTCTCTAAAAAAAAAAAAAAGAAAAAAGGACTCATGAACTACATAACACAAATCAGGAAATAATGACTCATTAATATCCACGAAGCAATTGTTACTGTCCAGCACCAAAAACTTCAAAAGTTTTACTTTTCATTTTCCCCTTCTATACTTCCATTATATGCACTTTCTTTACTCCAGGAAAAAAAAAAAAAATTCCATTATTCTTACTGAAAGAGAAGCCTTAAAGAAATGCATCTAGAGCATTTCACACTTCCCAGGTTTTTCTAATTAGCAAGTCAGCAGTTAATACAAAATAACAAGCAACATTTCTAAGTTTTGTTATCAACAATTCATTTTCTCCTATTATGGACTCCACTGGCCTAAATTCATGTAGATGTACATGGTTCATAATGAAATGTCTCACAAGGTCTCATTATTTTCAAGGCTCTCAAATTTGTAAGGTAAACATACCAAAAGGATAATACCATCATATAAATACAAAAGTGGCAACAAGTAGTACTAAAAAGCTTAAAGATTTATCTTGTTACATAAAAATAATATGCCACCAAAAGAGTGAGAAGCAGTCTAAGATCATCAATATAAACTCCACAAAACCATTTGATAATGCACGCAATCATCATAAACAAAAGGCTCAAAACATGAATCTTTTAAAATAAATTAGAGGTGACTTGGAAACATTTTTCAGAAAACTTCTATCAGATGCAGGCCTATTTTCACAAGGTTAGTGGAGCACATTCATTAATTGCCCTATATGTCTTACATGGTCATCGTATTAAATAAGCTTCAAAAAGGAAAGGCCACTTTTAATGCACTCATTGTTTATGAATCAAATTGGATACAATAATAAGAACAATCTTCAAGGCCACCAAACTAGATTTACCCTATCACATTTAATGCACTCATTTTGTTTCAATAATTTTGGTAGGGAGTTTGGATTTGGTTCTTGAAAAAAACTTCAAAAGAAATAGCAGAGATAAACCAGCAAATAGTAATATAGTTCAAGAATTAAGGGAGTGGACTAGTGATAAATAGCTAATGCAAGAATACCACTCATACTACTTAGAATATTAAAAAAAATTTAGGCTGGTTTATCTAACTCATAGTCCTCAACAAAGTTTACCTAGAAAAAAAAGAAGCCATTAGAAAGAATCATTTTTCTTTGCAGGTAATGCTTAGGAAAACCTGAAAAACCTGCTACTATGGCCACGGAAGTAGACATATCCTCACTTGCTGGAAGCTTAAAGCCTCGACCTCAACTATCAAGACAGGATTCATGGGGAAGGAAAGATCAAGCACTCTGCAAATTATGTTAGCCAGTGATAAGTCTTAAACACTAAGAATTATTTTTCACCAATTAGGGATTATTTGGTTCCTCACATGTAAAATGCAGTCAAAGATGATGATGAGGATGAAATGCATCTAATAAAAGTGGCATCCTCTTCAATAGATCCAGTGACATTCAAAAGTTCCCAAAGAAAACAGAAAAGAAGGGATTAAAAATTCCACCAACCTCAAGAATCTGGCGCCACTCCTTTCCTGTCATCTGCATGGTAGAAAACAGAAAGACAAGAAATAAAAGTAGGTAATTGAGTCATCAGAGTCCAGAACTAAGACAAAACAAAGCTGCAAGAACAGCACAGGCACCATTCTTTTCCAAATCTACATATACATAAAAAAATTTATTTTATTTTATTTTGCTGAATTTTTCTGTTCATTGGTGTTCTTTTTTAGTGCTAAGCAACAAAAAGCAATTGAGAAGTTATTTTATTTTATTTTTATTTTTGGGGCCAGCAATTGAGAAGTTAATATACTAACCTTATGTAACAAAATGTCAAAAGGACCTTGTTCTGAGAGTGGTCTGTTTTGATCAATTGCAACAAATAATATCCCCTTATTCCTGCAGCACGCCCGTTGCATTGTATTGTTACTTAAAAAATCTCATGCTTACTGAAAATGACTCGAATTCTAATAAGTTTATAACATCCTCTGAAAGCTGAACATTTGATTCAAAAGACAAGAGGAAGGAGAAGAGAAAATCTGTAACTTATTCGGTATTAGAGTGATTGTTGAAAGATTCCGTGATTTTTCTTTTCCTTTACTTCATTTACTTGACAACAAAAATCGACAACGACATGTAAAGCAGTATATTCCACTCAAAGAATCCAGGAAAAAATCAAGAGAAAAAACAAGTAAAAGATTCAAATCTAGAAAACCTTCAGGCGAGAGATAGCATTTACAGAACCAGAATTCTCCATAACTAAAACGAGGAAGAAAATTCAATTCTAAAGAGAATTCAATCAAATCAAAAAAATTAAAGAGCTGAATCACGATCTACCTCGCCAAACCTTCGAGCTTCGGCTGCAAAAAGCTCTTCGTCTTCTTCGAGGTAAGCGCGTAACCGACGACAACAAGCTTCCTCTGCTGCTGCTGCAAAACTCCAATCGAGCATTGCGACGTCGTTTCCTCTCCTTCCGCTTCCTCGACACTCCTATCATACGAAGAATCCTCCTTAATCCTCATTTCCTCCGTCTTCAAACAACGAAACACCAAAATCAAAGAGAAAAACAGGCGAGGAGGAGGAAGGAAATGCGGTGGCCGGCGAGATATTGAGAGATCGGCGGGAGCAGAGAGAGTCGGTTGCGAAGAAATCACAGAACGTTTGTTTTGGCGCTTGGAGATGGTGATTGGTGAGTAGGAGAGGGCGTCTGCCGATACGTGTATATATAGGAAGGGGGACGAGGAGGCGGAGATTTGTGGGGGGTGTGAGCCTGGACGCCTCAATTGTGACGCTGGTTTGGTTCTTTATAGCGCTGGCCGCTGAGAATTTAGGCGCTAAAACATGATCCGTGATACTAATGCGTTTGTGTTCCTAAGTGCTGTGACGTGGCAGTCCATGCTTTTTAGATATTCTTTTTTTCATCTATATCTGTTTTTTGGTGGAGTTTTTTTAATTTTTTTGTCTATATCTGGAAAAGAAAAAAAATACTTTTTTAAAAAAAATGTTTCTTTTTTTTTTCTTAGTTTTTATTTGGATTTGGCTTATATAGGGTAAATATATGTTTCTCCAAAAAAAGGATTCGGTATTAAAAAGTGTAAATCCAAAATTCCCATTGGAATATTAATAACACTTTTTATCATTATTTATCTATTATTATTATTATCTTAAGTAGGCTAACAACTCTCCTTTTGTTTTTTTATAATATATTTAAATTGAAGAAAATAAAAGAGGGAAGAGAAAAAAAAAATCTCCATTTAGTAATTAAAAAAATTAGAGGAAAAGAGAGGAGAAAATTTTATTTTATTTTATCTTTTCTTTTTAATATAGTTATTTATATAAATAAGGGAAGAGAGGGAAATTGAGAGAAACGAAGGGAAATGGAGAGAAATTAAGGGAAAAGATTCCCCTTCTCTTGATTCCTCTTAATCCCCTTCTCTTGATTCCTCTTAACCCAAATATGTGGTTGATAATTTTTTTGGTATTAATTTTTTAATATTTAAAAATCACATTAAATTTTAATTAATTTAAAGTTGAGTCGGATTGGATCTCATATGGGGAGAAACTCTTAAGGTATTTATTTTTCTCTTCATAAAACTCGAATTTGAAATCAAAATCTTGTTTAAGAAGAACTGAACTCCTTCTACTTTGATCAACAAGTCGTTGTTAGGATTAACAATTTTTTATTAGTATTTAGTTATTTATCCAAATAAATTTTTTGTTTTTATTTTTATTTTTATTTGTTTATATAAATAAATATTTTTTTTCTTATTTTAACATATTGTTATCACTTTAATTATATTCATCTCATCACAAAAGTTTCAATTTATTTTTTATTGTTTAAGAATAATATAAATAAATACAAAAAATATTTATTTTAACTTAAAAATTATTTTTAAGAAACTTACAATTATTTTAAAATAAAGTGAGTATCTTTTAGTTCAAAACCATCTAAACTTCTATTCTACCCATAATAATGTAAATAAAAAAAATGGCACAGTAATTCTTTAAAAAACGAATGAGCAAAGCTTAATGGCACTACCATTATGGTAGTATGATATGATGATAACTAAGACCAATCACCTATATTTGACACATCAATCATAACTAAGGCCAAAATTGCTCTATTTAACGCATTTATTTTTACTCCAAGTGAGCGTTTCAATGTTTAAGAGTATTGAAGATATTAAATTTAAATTTTGAATTAGGTGATGAAGGGATTTAAAAAAAAAAGAGATATTTTTTTTATATGATCTATATTAAAAAAAAACCATATATTTATCTTTCATTAAACATAATTTTTTTTTAATTGTACAATGTGAGGTAACCATCTCTCATCTCTTATCTCTCATCTCTCATCTCTCATCTCACTCTACCTGTATATTATGCAACTCAAATTTAAAACCACTAAATCATTTAAATCATTAACTTTCATCAAACGTAATTTTGTTATGAATGGGATGGAAACCTAATCAATTATAAAATCTGAGTTGACCATATACATTTGCATTCCCCCAAGTCACTGACAAAATGAAGTTTGTTTATGGTCATCTCTAACTAAAAGTATACTATAAATGAGTTTATTTATATTCCTTATCTATTTATTTATTTATTTTTTTAATAAATTTGTAAAGGATCGGATTTGAATTGTTAACTTAAAATAAGATAATGCACTTATATGTGGTCTGACGACATTGAACCTGAAAACCCAAGTGTATGTTCTTTCTTATTTAGAGTATAATTTCAACAAAATATCTTTTTATTTAGAGTAATTTCAAAAAAAGTTTGATATATTAAGAAAAATTATATTCGGCTTCTATAATTCAACTGGCGACATAAAAATATATATGTTGGGTTCTACCTGGTTTGGTTGGTTTTAGGAGGTACGTATGTCCGGATGTATGAGTTGGATAAGTATTGTACAAATATCAAACTTAATAGAATAAAATACTTTTTACACTACTTATACATATAATTTTATGAAAGTTGGGAGTTAGTTATGGTGCGTGTCCGATTCATTCATATTCGCAATGATGGTGCTCGAGCAAATAGAATTTGTTTATCATCTTTTGTTCTGGTAGGTCCACATGGTGCCAGGTTCGCAAATCTTATCTTGGGGTGGCAAATGGCCAATTTTTAAGAATATGACAAATTCAATATTTCTTTTTTATCATAGGGCATGGAGACACATCCCATCATTCATACAAGAAAAAAGGAAAGGTTTTGATTCAATATCTCGTGCCAAAAATCCCCCACTGCCATCAACGTCTTTGGATGGAGAGAGAGTTGGAGAGCAAGGTATGGTTTTTATAAAGGTAGTAGATAGATAGATTTAAAATTGATGAGGTTGATGAGGATTTCCTTTCATTTGTAAAGATAGAATAGCTTCAATGATTTAACTTCACTTGCCTTTATTACTTGTTTATGAATCTTTGTCTCCTACTATTATTACTTTTTCTTTTTCATTTTGGGTAAAAAGATGGTTAATGTGGTAGCGTGATGCATATATTCTTTTTATGTAGAATACAAAATTAATATACAAAATGTACACAATATAAGTATAAATAACTTAAACACGATATATTATTTAAAAAATTTTAAAAAATATTTTATAAAAAATTGATCATATGCAAGAGTGAAATTCACAAAATTAAAATTGTGATATCTCAATCTTTACCATTAGGTCAAAGACGTAATTGCCTAACATGGTAGTGCGATTGAAAAAGGAAGAGAAAAATAAATGAAAATAGAGGAGAAAATTTGAGATCGTAGAAAGAGGTGCTTGGCATTTTTCGCTGGTACAACTAATAATCGTTTGTTTGTTTGATTTTTTTTTTCTTTCCCCTTATTCAGGAAAGTTCATTGAACGATCATACTGTGTGTAAAGTCTCTTTTTTGGCACAACATCTAGTGCGGCCATGACAAACACGTTGATGGTACGAAAAAAATTTGGAAGTATATGCATTCTCTCTAGGTGGAGGGTCAGATTCTTCAATTTTGGAATCATAGAGCAAATTTCTTTATTGAATCACTAAGTGACATAGTCCTTTCAGTGAACTTCCTTTTACTTTTTAACTTTTAAAAATAAATTTTAAATAAAAATTTAATAATTTTTATAAATAATAATTAATTTTTTTTATATATAATTTTTATTAAGTATTTTAATTTGATAAAAAAATTTAATTATTATTTATTTAACATGTTAAATTTTTATTTATAATTTATGTTAAAAAAATTAAAAAATTAAACTAAAACTATTAAAAATAAACTGAAGGAATAAAACAGAGGGCATATAACCGTACCGGTGAACGTTTATAACAAGTGAAAAAAAATTGAGATGGTTAGGTATTGGGTCCAAAAATTTATATTATACAAGTGGATTAGGTTCTAAAAATCTATGACGGAAGGATGGATAAAACAAGTTGAGCATTTTATATCTCAAAAACATCTGGACATCAACCTGTTCCACATGCAACCTGAATACTGACATGAGGTATATCAAATTTTTGATTTAGATCACCTTGCAAAATCCTTGATTCCTAGCATGAATGACCCAATTTCGACTGGACCAAAGACGTTAACTTAGTTTGGTGCGTTTGAGTTGGCTCGAGCCACCATTTAACTGCAAAACCAAAAAGAGGAAAAAGAAAAAAGAAAAAACCTTAAAAACTCGATTCAGGTATTAGTTTTCATGTGAAAGACACTGAATTACTAAAATGCTAACCCTTCATTCTTGCTTTGAGAGCAATGGAACAAGGTCGACCACCACTAAAATAGACTTTCTTGGACACAAGTTCCTTTGTGCGGAGCAACAGTGGTTGCAGTGTCATTTTCTGATTGCTTACACCTGTGGAATTTTGTGAATGAGTGATTCACACTCCCAATAGTTGCAGACAGTTGTGCAGAAGATGGTGCCACAGGTTGGGATACATTTCCAACTTTTGAGGGGGTTAAAATGAGAACCAAAGCATGGAATTATGGCAATGGGGCCATGATTTGATCTTAGTGCACATGATTTGATCTTAGTGCACATGACTGCTCTCTGGTCATCGGCTTGGAGCTGTCAAAAGAAAAGTCAAGAAAGTTACTGTAGTGGTAGTCAGAGGTCACGCACCTTAGTGTAGTCCGAGGGACATAACCTCGGGCATCTGGAACTACTCTTAATAATGCAGTCACCGACTGGAGCAATGAACTCAGCAACGAGCTCATCACAGCTGAGCTCAGCCGAGCTCGAGTTCATCCCCTCTGCTCTTGTCCTATAGTAACTCCGTACATGTACAGATCCCTCAGGAAAATTTCCTGCGATCATTGACACATACGATCATTATTGTCCACGAAGAACAACACGTGGACTCCCCTTTGAAGGCTATAAATACCCCTCTGGGTTCTTCCCAAAAGGTAATTGAAACCGTACTCAAGCTCAGCTCTTAATTCATACCTAGTAGCTCTGATTATTGCTGACTTGGACGTCGGAGTGTCTACCTGAGACCACACCTCAAGGCTTTGCAGGTCCACACCTTAAGGCTTTGCAGGTCAACCGAAGTAAGAAGTCAAGGACAGAAGTGCTTTGGAGTTCTTGTGCAACTACAGTTACAGATGTGCTATTTTCATTTTCTGAGAATTAGAAATCGAATGATGAATCCCATTAAATGCAGAGAAGCACAAGAACTCTAGACATAAGATATTATTATTATTATTATTTTCTGGAGACAAATGCATTCAATATTTTAATAACTAGGAGAGGAAAAACATACTTGGTTTTAGTATTGTGCATAAAACAAACCTTTCAAGGGAACATCAGCAGAAAAGAAAGAAAATCCATGGAAAATAAACTTATATAAAATTGAAGACACTGAATTATCCCTTGAGTCCTGCGTTGACCATAGAATCCTGTCAAATAAGTAGAACCCATTAGCTGTCGGGCAAAACAGAAAAGGCAATAATATTTTGGAAAATAAGTGAAACATGTAGGAGAAAGAACCAGAAAGAATGAACGCTCCAAAGTCAAGAGTCAACTCAATGGATTATCAATTGGTTTGCTGATATGTAATATCCTTTTAATGCTTTAGCAACCCTGAATCCTGGAAAAAGTTAATCAGTGGACTGCAATTTTCTAGTGCTCCACTAATTCTCCTCTAGAGAAAAGGAAGTTCATATATGATGTGGAATTGGGCTCGTGTTGCAGCATTGACGCACTATAAGAATTAGAGGTGGGAAATTTTTCCTAAAATTTGCAAAATTTGTCACCCAACACTTTCCTTAGAACAATGTAATAAAATTTTATTATTATTATTATTCAATATTTATGGTCAGGTGTCCCTAGATCAACTTTTACACATTTTGAGACTAATCTATCCTCAAGCAATCTTAAAAATGGATCCCCATATTGGCTGGTGCCTATCACATTCAAGTTAATTTACATAGGTGTTTACCTCAAGACTTGAACCTTAGACCTAGTTTATAAGATAACACTTGTTTACCAATAAATCCAACCCTTGGGATCATAAAATCTTATTGATTGACTACACATAACAAGAAAAAAAGAACTCTTGTCATTTAAGAATAACTGAAGCATTCATTGTCACATGCATGTTACGCTTGAAGGTCCTTACCCAGTGCTTGCAGACGAGGCAATTCTCAGGTATCTGTGGGAATAATACCCATGCTATCCAAAAAAAAAAAGGGAAAAGAAGAGGAGGAAGAAAAGAGTGAGAATTTTACCAGTTCAATAATATGGTTATTCTTTTGAAATGACATTTTCAGAGAGTGAATTCATGGTATCAATCCCTCTGGCCCAAGAACCAATGGCAATAACTTTTTCATGACCAGTAATCCACTAATCTTAAGTTTGTGATTGTAACAAGATATTTGGAGAGATTGTACTATTAACCCCACCATGTGCTAAATGTGATTTTCTAGGATATTTATAAGAAAAACAGTATGTGTACCTATCATGTGGTCCTCTTCTGCTCCCCTGCACTAGCCCTTCACTTCGTTTTCTGCCTTTTGTTTTAGCCCTCTGCATGGCTGAAATGCAAACCTGCTTCAAAGAAAAAACAGAGAATATATTTGTCTAGGAGTTACCAAACAAAAGAAGGGGAAGAAGAATAACAAAAAATATTTCTTACAATTCTATTTCGCATCATCCCTGATGACTTACAAAATGAGAATCCGCTGATTGGACAACACCAATATCAGCACTAATCCTTTTTCATTCCCTTACCAATGTATTAGTTCCTACTTTCTTCAAAATATTTCTTCTTATCATAAATTCACAAAGAGCTTAGTCAAAATTTCAAGCACAGAATATGATTACCTTATCAAACCTGCCAAAAGGAAAACAAACTCATGCAACTTCTCTGAACCAAGGTTGTGGCAAGTCCCACTTTGAGGAGTTCACAACTTCACTGCGGTAAATAACACAAATCACATGGTTTTAAAATATGGATAAATATATCAAACCAACATGTTCTCACTTAAAGCAAGGACGCCAACCTATTTGTGTTTGGCAAAAAAAAAAAAAAAAAAAAAAAAAAACAACTACTTGTGCGAGATTGCATGCAAGTTTACGTGGGAATAACACAAAAGCATCAATAGAAGGTAATCTCTATTTTGGGAAAATCATCCAAAGATTGGACAGAAAACTAGATAAGGATTTCATGTACATAATCTGAAATTGGTATGTACCTTCCTCCTATCCGTACCAATCAACCCTGCATACACTTGAAATTTTTTCTTCCAAACAAAGGCAGGTTTTGCACCTGATATACTGAAACCGTTCTTATTCATATTGCCCCTGAAGTGCTCTTCAGCTAACTATATAATTATTACTTTCAGAAAGAAAATTAGCAAAAGTGAACAAGGAAATTTTTCCAATAGGATGGTAAGACACTGCAGATGATGGATATAGATGCTAGACATGAGAACACCAATACCAAATAAGGCAAGATAACAACAAAAACAATTTTTTTAAAAAAAAAAGGGAAACAAGTAAAAGGAAAAAATAGTTTCATTCTAACTGATGCGAAACAGCATTGTTATTACAAACAAACCTAACTAGGGTAAAACATCACCTCAATGTGGGAAGGAAGTGAATATCTTTCACCTATTATCGAAGAAAAAAAATATATTAGTGGGAACCAATCCTCTAACAAAATCCAATACGTGTCATCCACAGCTCTAATTGCAGAGCAAATGATCACATTATTTTAAACATTACAAATAAACTTCATTACAAGGGTTACCAAGTTTCTTTCATCAAGATTGTGATAGCTCTAGCTTCTTTCTTCCATACTAAAACTCACACTGAAAAAGATAACTAAATTGTTAGCATGTGCTTTCAACTCAGAAAGCAACTCCAATTACAGTTGACCAAAAACAAAATTCAGTTCCTAATGGAAACAGAATCACAAATAACAAATATTCATAACTTAGAACCTCTCACAGGGTAGCCTATAGAAGGTAAGTAAAATATGTATTTCAAAACATAAATCTAGCTAACACCTAATTATTTCTCAAGAAAACTTCCTCAGATCATCTCTTCATTTAAAACTTATGTGCATGAAACAGATGTTCCAATGAGCACATTCTTTCACAAACCCAAAAATAGCTTCTATTAGTTACTTCCGGTTCACAATCAATCAAGTCCATTCTTCTTAAAAGATTTACGATGTTAGTATTACACCGTCAAACACCAACAGCAGCAGCTGAAAATACCAGACCATGCCACATACCATGAAGTGAAATAATTTGGCTTCTTTAATTCTCTGAATCAGGAACACAATAACCACCCAATTTTAAATCACTGAAAAGCTTGTACAACTCCAAAAACATTATATAGCTATAAGCGAAAGAGGGAATGTGGAGAGAGGGTCAACTGCTCATAATGGAAAAATCATTATTATATTTCTTCTGATATTACTCACTCTATCCTTTTATAATCAGAAAAATGGAACAAAAATAACATCCCCAGCTTTTATGAATTTCTTTCACTAAAGTACAACCTGCTTCAAAGCTCATTTCCTTACCACCCCAGAGAAAAAACTTCTGCATCCAAAATTAAAGACAAAAGAACTAGCTTGATGTCAGTTTTATGGTTCTAAGAGAATATACTTTGCATAGCCACAAAAAGAGATCACGGTCATCTTAACAGGTTTAATTTGTTACAGCTTCTTACTGCAATGGAATAATTATAATAATAGGATAAACATGGCACATCAGCTTTCAATAATTCTCCATATGCAAAAATTCACCAAAAATGTTTATGATTGCTTCACATGATACAGCTCTAGTCTACAAAATTTGTACCCTCCTATGAAGGACTACTGGAATGCAAAAGCTCTTTAAAACAATTAATGCAAGTATTGATTTTTTGTCACCTTGCAAAGTAAAAGACTTCTGTGCTGACATCATACACAACAGAACAAGACGGGAAATCTCACTCTAATGCACATGGCATCACCCCCACCCCCCCACTTCTCCAATCCCCATCCTATCACAGGTACACGCACAAGCATGCAGGCGTGTGCCTACACAAAGAGGGAGGGAGGGAGGGAAAGATTTGGTGTAGAGAACAATGCAAGCATACAGAAGGATTTAAACGAATATCTTTAGCTGCTATGTACTCTTGTAATGAACCATAACAAGGACCACTCAATGTAAGAAATCCCATTTTATAGACATAAATCTCCTTTCGGCAGTCAAATGATAAAAGAAGAAGAGAAGTTTTAAATCATGACAACACTTGAAAGGGCAACTGATAACTTATTTAATAAATAAAGAAATCAATAAATGCAAATATATTCCAAAAACATAATCCAACACGTGTACCCAATTAAATTCTATCAGGAAGCTTATTAATGGAAGCATTCAACGAGGGAAAGGAGCTGATTTCAATGTATCTATAGCTAATTCTAAATGCATTTTACATTAATGATGAAAAAAAGGAAGAGTTAAATTTTTGACATGTATTTGTAGCTTAATGAGACTTTCTCTGTATAACCTGCCAAATTAATATTTCTTAGAAGCAAATTTCATCAGCAATGGAAACAAAAACTCCAGTAAAAAAATCAACCTATATAAAATATAAACACAAACCACCTTCTGGTGGTAAGCAAGGGAATATGAACATGGTGGTTTTCCATGATGCTGACAAACAACGTAAAAACTTGTTATGAAACTGTCAGCATCCCATGTTATGCCTTGAGCAGCCGAGCATCTTTCAAAATCTACCTCTGCTTACAAGAAAATCTTCAAATCTCTTCACTAAAAACAGGTGGTACCAATTGTGATAAATGGCCTAATCCAGGCTTTACTCTAACTAAAACAATAGCTTACTCTTATCTTCAATTTCTTTCAACATGAGAACCATTAAGAGTCAGTAGTTACAAGAAGTCATGGATAACCAGTTTCTTGTTCCATATGCTCATAAAAATTCCAGCAGGACCAAGCATTATAGTATGAAGGCACTCTATGATGTCTCTAACGTATGACCGTTTAGAATAAAACCTAGTGATAAAATCTAAACACCAGACATGTGTAGAAGTGATCAAAAGAAAAGGAATATTAGTTGAAAGATTCTCAAATTGTTTTATTCTTCTTTGAATGGAAGAAAGAGTGCCAATTAACAATATACCCAGAAAATTTAATGCCATGCATGGAACGTAGAGAACGCTGTTGATGCTTAGGTACTTCAAGTCTTCAACTCTCTTTTAGCTACCATGAAATAACAATTGAAAACTTCATCATAACTAAGAAATATATTTGTGATAACTCCATCTCAAAACTGACTCCTGTGCAGACCTCACACTGAAAAAACTAACATTAAATACACACACACACACACAAACATAATTTGCTTGACAACGCTGACTTCATTACAGGTTAGTTCTCTTTTCAAAGGGGTTAAGGATCCTCAGAACAAAGGCTTTAGTAAAAGCAAATCACTAACTGAATGTTTAGAAGAATACTAATGACAGGCAAAATGAGCTAACACAATGGGCAAAAAAAACCTAAGAAATGATTCTATTTTGTTTCCTGTGCATGTAGGTTTAGATGTTCTGTGCTACTCCTAGTTGAAATGTAACATAACATTTGGATCATAATTCTTCCAAGTCATCCTGAGTCATTAATCTCCCGAATAACTGACTTTAGGATGTTATCTCCAGCAATAAATCGAAACCGCCTTATAAAATCATCTTTTGCCAACAACCCAGCCTGTAATTAGCCATAAAGTAGGTCACATAACTTTTGCCTCAAGTTAGTTCTCTTGTGACAAAACACATGTTATATATAAGAAGGAATCAAATCCTTACTTACCTGGAACATCTCGTATAAATGCACAACTTCCTGAAATTGGGCAGGAGGTAGGGAATCCCCAACCTTTGAGATGAACTCCTTACCCGTACATCGTGCTGCTTTCATTTGGCCTACTCAACAAAATTCAATAATGGAATATGGATACAAAAGCTACAAAATCAATATCCAAAAAAAGAGCAGAGAAAATTTACCTTGCGCATTACCAAAAGGCTTGTAACTCACAACAAACTCAGGAAAAATGTGCTTGTTCATATTATAAGACCACACCACATGCCAAGTGGGGTTCTTAGGATCATCTGAACCGGTGTCAAACTTCGCCCTGGAAGGTAGATCTTGTTGGGATCCGAATTCCACTTTCTCGACATTTCCCAATAGAATTCGACAGAGAATAACATGCTTTTCGCCATTTTCATCTGCCTCCGCCAGTGAAGCACTGAAACGATCAGTTCAAAGGTTAAGAACTACGAAAACGATCGATGGATGAGTATCAAACTGAATATACATCAAGACGTATACCTCAATTGGGGCAATCCTATAGGAGACAGATAGACACCGATCCCATAAACATCAGACTCGGGAACCTTCGTGGGCGACCGAAATCCATAAGCCAATATGGTAGCCACCTCCTTTTCCGAAGCCCCGTGCCAGGCGTGAATCGTCGTTGCAGCATCAGCACCTCGAATAGTCCTAGTGAGCTCAATTTGTTTCTGAAAAGCCTCATAACGAGCCTTCTGTGAATGCCCCTCACGCGTGCATTTGTAAATGGTGGTAACATTAGCAAATGGATGGAGTTTTCTTACCCCTGCCAAGAAATAATTCTTGATAAGCATATGCTCCTTATCTCCTTCTCGCAATATCGTCGTCTCTGGCCACCTAAGAACTTCAAGAAATTGCGGACGTCTAGGCCCATCCTCAGCTATGACTGGAAGAACAGCGACCGGAGGAGTTGGAAGAGCCGTGGTTGGAGGAGTTGCTTCAAATTCTGCTCTCTTCCTCTTCAATAAACTATCGTCAAGCTTGATCACAAGCTCAATGTTATGATTAATATCACCATTACCATTAGCACAACTCTCCATATATTCATTATTTTCAAGTTCTGTAAACTCTTCCTCCTTTCCGATACTAATTTTCGGGAAAAAACACTTGCCATTTTCATCGATCCATGAAACCGAACAAAAGTTTTCGGTCTTAAAATCGATCTGAAGCATCCTCAGGAAATCGAATAGATACTTCGATCCGTCGATCGACACGTCCACCATCGCCCTGCGGTCCGCGAACGCCGGGCGGAGTTGGTCTACAACTTCGCTCGAGAAATCGATCCAATCTCCATTCTCGAAGTACATCAACCTGGATGGAGCTGTGCTGCGAGAGAAATTCCGGTAGTTCTGTAGCAGGAGCTCTGTAGAAGCAAAGTAATCTTGTGCAAAGCCGCTGCGTTTGAGAGCGTACTGAGTTAACGGTGGAGCCAGTGGGGATACCTTCGAGGGAAGCGTAAGTGTGGCGGATTGCACCTCCTTCCCCTTTCTCACCGCTGCACTACCGCTTTGGTGTGCAGCGTCTTGAGAAGACAATGGAACCAATGCGAGTGGTGCAGATGACGGCAACGGAACCATATCAGCGACCGATTCCGCCAGCCTACTAGTTGATGCCGCTGCTGTCTGAGCCATGAGTCACCGGCTGAGACAAAAAACGCTCGGATTTTAGTAATCGGAAGCAACAATGAGCGGCGAAATCAGAGGCAAAAGGTCGGCTACAGCAACTTATATGCGTTTCTTCGATGGGGACGACAGTTTTCAATGTCATAATTGGGCTCCATTTTAATGATGATTAAGTCGGTTAAAGCGCAAGAGAAGGAAGGGCATTCCTGGCAATTCATAGTCATTCAGAGAGAGAAACGCCGGTCTCGTGACTCAGAATCGTTATTTTTGCCTTGGAGCCTAAGCAAGCAGGAAATATTAAATATTCCACGTCGGTTTTTTTTTTTTGGGTTATGGAATGTTAGTAATGTTTTCTCACCGAATCCGAATTCTGTGAAAAGTCCACCTTTGACCTTTTTTTTTTTATTTTTTTTATTTTAGTATATCTGAAGATGGATATACAAAAAGAAATAACATTTTCTTATTCTCAAATTTTTTTTTATTCCACTCAAAATTTAAATTTAAGATCTTTAACTTAAAATATTAAATTTTGAACTATTGAGTCATTCATTGGAGTTCACCTTTGACTTTTGTTTGATATTAGATTAATTCATCATGAAGATTTCCTTTAAAAAAAGAAAAGGAAATTCTTTCTCCTTTCAAATATATCTTTTTGACATTAATTTATTTATTAATCTCAATTCGGTTTCAGTTTATTTAACAAATGACAATTAGTTTAGTAGCATGGAAGAAGTACTAATAAAATGAAAAAAAATAGCTTCTTTTTTTTTATTTTATTTCATTAATAATAACAATTTTAGTAATTTACACGAAATTTCAAGCTTAGCATACAAGTTTTTCCAAATAAATTTTTTTAACTGACTTGACCTCCAAGTTTTAATTAAAAAAGAAGGACAACTTCTTTAAGCAAAAAAAAAAGGAAAAAAGAAAAAGAAGAAAGGTCAAATCAAGATTCATGAAAGAATGTCAACTTCATACTAAATAGCCTTCAAACTTATTCGAGAAAAAAATCGACCTCTAAATCTGTCAACTTGAATTAAATCAATCCTTTTTTAACGATTTTCTTAGTTTTTTTCGTCAATAATTGTAACCCTTCATTTGGTTTTAGAAAAACAAAAGAGATGAGGGATAATATATTTTTATTTTTCCTTCTTATTTAGTTACGTTAATTTAAAACAAAATTCCCCCTCTTTCCTTCAAATTTTTGTAATTTAAATATAGAATTTTATTATTTAAATATATAATTTTATCTCTTTCACCTCTTCTCCCTCTCCCTCAAATGTTCAAACCAAACAATAGTCTATAAGTGACTTAGATGAAAAACTAAGGAAATTGTTAAAAAAATTGGAAATTTTGCCTCAAGTCAACAAGCCCATAGACAAAGGCCGAAAAGAAGAAAATGAGAAAAAAATAGACAAGCTCTAAGACTAATTCGTTTCTAGAATAGGTTGTGGGGCTAATTTGTTTCTAGAATAGGTTCTAGGCCTGATTTGCATCAAGTTTATGAAATTGGGAGTCTATTTGGCGTTTTACCAGTTCTATTTTAGCAATTTCCCCCTATTTGAGCAGTTCGGTGTGGAATTGGGATTCTAAACGGAAAATGATTAAAATAATTTTATATATAATTTTTTATATAATATTACATAATTTTATAATTTATTATTACATTTAATTTTAATATTATATGTATTTATTTATTTAATAATATATAAAAATTATTAAAAAATTATAAAAATATATTATTTACATTTTACCCATTTAAACTCTTAAAATTGCTTCCTTCCTATTTGAAAGAGATACCGTATTTAACTTTAACATGTCATATATATAATAATTTGGTAGAAAGAACTCAAATTTGAGCTTAAAATAATGGAAATAATATGGCAAAGAATAGCACATGAAAATGTCATACATAATTGTAAAGCAATAAGCTAGAGATTTTTTTTTTTTAATGGTCGGAGTATATTTGTATGGTAAGATGGAGGATATATCTTATACTTTTGATGACTGGATGATATAAAATATTCTACATATATGGATAGGAAATCATGTTTTATTGAATCATTCTTCAATTATTTCAAAAAAAAAATGTTCGAACTATCATGCAATCGTTATTCATTAATTGTTAATGGATAAAAAATTTTATTTGTATTGCAAGATGGACATGAGATGTTTGTGTTTTCCTTAATTATATAGATAAAATTTAATTCATCTTAAGAAACTAAATTGACCATAGTTAAATATCTTTAATATTTTTGAGATTTATGCAATAGTTGTAATCACATACAAACTTATTATGCATGATTGTAAGCACTTTGTTCGTGACTTTTATTCTCATTAACAAGGGTAACTATATTTTTTTATATGTCAAAGGATTAGATATTTGATATTATAAATGTTTAAATTTTAAATTAAAAAATTTAAATTAATAAATATTAATTCAACTAAACTTTTATCAATAACATTTTGAGTATCTTTTGTTAGTTCATTTCAAAGAGCAGTTGAACGATTATACCAATTAAGATTTCAATTTTTTGCAGGATAAGATAAATAACATGAATTTTTTAAATTGCACAGGTGAAATGTTCAACTAAAGAAACTAATCAATATTTTTTAAACCACATCAAGAAGATGAACACCAAAAAATTCCAATCGACTGCTTTGTTCGACAGCGTTGGTGTGTAATTATATCTGTAAATTTTTTTATTTAATTAAAAAAATATAAAATATAAGATATATTTAATATTTATTATGTTGAGTAGAAAAATCGAATGTAAAAATGAAAAAGTTTATAGGTTAAATACAATGAAAATTACTTTATTTATTACTAATTAATTTTAAGTTAAATGTAAGTATTTTGTTGAGCTCGTATACACAATTTTCATATGGTATTAAATCTCAAATTTGAAAATATATCATTATTAACCCATTTGACAGGAATCTTACATCAAGTGTAAAAATTAAAAAACTTATGAGTCTATTATATTTATTGTTAATTGATTTTAAGTTAAATGCAAGTTTTTTTATTAAGTTCATAGGTACAATTTTCACATATTATAATTAATATTTTACATATTTTTAAAATAATAAAAAATATAAAATCTAAAAACTAAAACACAAAAAAGTTGTGAAACGAAGCCTATGTTTTTTTTATTCGTTTATTTTATTATATTATTTTTTTTTCTTTGGTATTTTTGTTGTTAGACATGTCATTGCCATGGCTCATGGGCCATTTTAATTGGATCATGTGGGTCGGTTAGGCAACATTACCCAACCCGAAACGGGAACATCCCGGGAAAATTATAGTCGAACCGGGAATCCAGAACCATCTCCGTCAGATAATCCGCAGGCACGGATGCTCATCATCAGTACAAAACCTAGTATTCCTCGCTCATCCCGTTTCGAAATCTCATCCTCATTTCAAGAGAAGCTTCCATCAAGAATTCTGCTTCGAAATGTCGAAATTTCCTCATCTTGTAAGTTTTCCTTGATTCCCCGATCAAGCATTTTTTTTTCCCTAAATTTGATGCTCAATTCCATTGTATGATGGTAACCATGAAAACGGAATCTTGAATGCAGAGTTCTGTCCGTCTCAGAGACTGAAAGCTTGATTTTGCAGTGCGTCGGAGCTTCTGTTCAGTGAGGTATTGACTCCCTTCTTTAGCCTTCACTGTTTAACTTCAATTGCATAACTGAGGTAATTCTGAAATTTAGAGTATTTTAATCCTTGTTTAGTGGACCTTTAAGCTTCCGTAGTTCTTTTGTTGAATTGGAAATACAAAAGCATCTGAGGTACGAGTTTCTTTACTATTTACTAGTTGTTAGTTATTTTCTCACTATGAACCGGACTTCGGGTTTCAACATTTGTAAGTTAAGATTTGGTGGCTGTTTTTTTACCATTTTAAAGAATCATTCCCATATTCATTAGAATGCATCCTACATGATCCATTCATGTGACATAGGTCTTGCTGAAGTAGGCCAGAAGAGGGATGAATTAGGAAGGGTTTACCGTTACAACTCTAAAATCGACAGAGAGCTGTTAGACTAAGATATCTAGAACCCCAAAAGAAAATGACCCCTTTAAAGAAAGTTGGGCTAGAGACTTCGGTTGTTTTTTTCATACTAATTGGATGGTCTAGTAGTGGTCTTTAAATTGTTCGTTTTTATTTCTTTTTTCATGTCTTTGTCATTGTTTCTTTCTAATTTTTATGGTATTTTTCAAATTATGGACTTCTTAGTTGCATTAAAGTTGACATGAAACAGTTGGGCCTATATTCTTTTTTCAGAATGTCTACTCCATTGACCCCTTCTAAGAGACCACATGAAAGGAGCCTTGCAGAGCCAAATGGGAAAGGAAAATTGCAAAAATCAACAAGCCTCTCAAAATCCTCACCTGGCAGTATTATTCTCCGTGTAGTGTGCCCTGCTTCTAAAACTGGTATTTTCATCGAAAATGGTGGAACCATCATATCCCAAATTCAACAAGAAACTGGCGCAAAAGTCAGAGTTGAGGAAACAATCCCTGCTTCTGATGAGAGAGTGATTGTCATCATGGATGCTTCTGAGTTGTCCAGTGAAGGTACAGAAGTTGGATCTAAGCGGAGCGAGGAGCGTAGTAGTGCTAATGTAGCTGAGGAGAATGAAGATAAAAGGGAAAGTGGCAAAAATGATGAGAATAAGGAATCAGATTCTCTGAAAGATGTGAAGTCTGTAAAGGAAAGTTCAACCCTTCAGAAGGCTTTAGTACTTGTTTTTGAAAGAATAGTTGAACCTGAGCCAAAGGCAGGAGGAGGTAATGAGGAAACTGATAAGTCTACTACCGTTGTTTTAAGGTTACTTGTGCTTTCTAGTCAAATTGGCTGCCTTTTGGGAAAGGGTGGCAGTGTAATTAAGCAAATGTCTTCTGAGAGTGGTGCACAGATTCGTATTATTCCTAGGGACAAACTTCCTTCTTTTGCTTCAGCTACCGATGAACTAGTTCAGGTATCTTGTTCTTTTATTACTATGAGTCTGACATCAGTATTGACCTCATGTTGAACATTTTTTTGGTAAATTTCAGCATTATCTATGGTGTATTTGTCAAGTTAACTGAAAAACTTGATCTTTTTTATTATTCTGTTGTTGGCTTTTAATATACACTGATCTAGTTTCAGTGACTACAAACCAATCAATATTTTGCTTTCCCAGCAACAGAATGAAGTAATGTGTGAAGCAATTGTAATGTTCTAATCATAGTTATTGTAGTATTAAATACTCTGCCACAATCTGTGCATGCAGAAATTTTGTCTTCCTGTTGTATAAAATTTTGTTGGCAATGTTCTGTGATTATGCTACAGATTACAGGGGAGGTAGATGCAGTTAGGAAAGCCCTTCAATCGGTCTCTCAACAACTTTTGGAGAATCCCCAGAAGGATCATGACACCTTTACTCCTACCACAGTAGGACAGTCATCTCATTCATTTGGTCCTAACCCAGATATGTATCCAACACCAAACCATTCTTTCATTTCTCAAGGAGCACCCAATGCTGGACCTCGAGGCATTGATTTTCATTCTGCAATACCCCCGCCCATCCCTGGGAGAATGATGTATCTGCCAGATATGTTAACATTCCGCTTATTGTGTCATCATGACAGAGTCGGAGGTATTATTGGCAAGGGAGGAGCAATAATCAAGACCATCACACAAGAGACAGGCTCTGAGATAAAAGTTGTTGAGGGTTCTCCTGATTCACCAGAACGCATAATTCTGATAGCTGGTCCTGCGGTATATTTTGCTTCCTGGGCTTTTTAACAAATGATTAAATTTGGATAATTTTCTTTATGCCCGAATATTCAAGTTGTTAGCCCTGTGACAATTATTGAAGGCACTAACGAGTAATGACAAAATTAACTAGTGCAGCATCCAGATGATAGAATATCAGCAGCACAAGAGGCAGTTATTCGGGTGCTCACCAGGATGGTTAGGGCTATGCCAGATGGAAATGACAAGACAGTGATGGCTAGATTGCTTGTATCCAATAATCAAATTGGTTGTCTCCTTGGCAAGGGTGGTTCTGTCATAGCTGAAATGAGGAAATTATCTGGTGCTCATATTCGGATATTGGGAAAGGATCAGGTTCCAAAGTGTGCTTCAGAGGGTGATGAAGTTGTTCAGGTCTGCTGACACATTTCCTTTTTGGCCGAGCACCTTTAGATTTTTTTATTGTATATTTCTATGCAGATGTTACTTATAATGAACACTTCAGGAGACAGAATATCTTCACTTGCAATTTTTTTTTTTTTAAAGAAAATTTTAATCCATGTTTTTCCTATATCTATCTGTTGATTTTGTTTCTACTGACAGATTAACGGAGAATATGAAGCTGTTCGAGAGGCTCTTCTTCACATAACATCCAGATTGCGACATCACTATTTTCGTGATTCATTTCATGCTATCAACCATCCTTCAAATCCTGCCTATCTGGATCAAGCACCCCCATTCGCTCCGTATATGGGAAGGAGAGAACTCTCACCGCCTGGAATGGGTCCACCTTTCCACCATTTTGATGCTTTTGGTGGCCCACCTCCACATGGTGGTTTTCATCCCCATGATGATCCGCCTTTTATGCACAATATTCATAGACCAAACATGCTTCCCCATATGTCGGAAAGAAAACCATGGGGCCCTCAGGTACGGAACTGTTAGTATGTATGATACTAGTGATGCAAAGTTTTTCTTTAAGAGTTAGATGTAGATTCACTTTGTTCTTCCTTTGGCTATTTATAGGGATTTGTTGCAGGTGGCGGCCCAATGGGCTTTTCAGATTTTACCGGAGTTCCTCATAGAAGAAGTTTAGGTTTTGGAGGGTATGTGAATTATAGTTTTGTTGTCATATTCTAGTTTCAAACAACCTATGGAAATTTGACAATTTCTTATTGTTTTTCTTTAATATTATCTGAATTTATAGAGGAAGCCAACCTGCCATTATTACAAGCACCACGGTTGAAGTTGTTGTTCCTCGCTCTCTTGTTCCTATAATACATGGAGAAGATGGTGCATGCCTGCAACAAATACACGAGGTACGTTCACGTAACTTTTTTACATTTGTGAGTATGTACATACTTTCTATCTTTATGGTGGAAAAGCAAATTAATGGCTAAATTACCTCATAGTCTAGCAGCTTTGTAAGTGCAAACATGCACCCAACCACCTACACACAGTCACACACAGACCTAGATGTAGATATCTATTCATGGGCATGTATGAGCCTTATCAATTCTAATGCTGTTTCCACTGCTACAGATTTCTGATGCAAAAATTATAATTACTGACCCAAAGCCTGGAGCAGCTGAAACTGTGATCATCATATCTGGAACACCTGAGCAAACCCATGCTGCACAGAGTCTTATTCAAGCTTTTGTTATGAGTGAGAGAGAACCTATCTGAAACTTTTAACAAGGTAATGACCTGTATATTTCTTCTTTCATTTTTACATTGTTATAAAGTATATTCAGTACTTGGTAGGCAGAAAACTAGTTATAACTTTTTCCATTACTGGTCTTTTCTCTTAGAAGATCATTTCATAGTTTCTTGATATACTTAATTTAGTGTATGGTGCTTATATTTGCTGCTAAAACTTGTCACCTCAGATGAGCATTCAGGTTGGAGATTGCCTGGATTCTTGTTTTACAGCTTTGTGAGTATGTAGAAACTTACTTGAATCTAGCTCGGGACTGATATTAAACTTTGCAGATTCATCAGCCCCTCATGGAAAGCATTCCTCTTCAATCTATGTGAGAGTTAAACCAGTGATCAAGTTGTATCTTTTTGGCCTTTTAAAATTAGAAGAAAGGGAAAAAAAAAAGATTGCTTTTTTACTTAATATAAATACATGCATTAATAGATAGATGAACATGGATGTGTAGTTGGATGAACTTTCCAAGAATTGCAAGAGAAATAACATTTCCGATTCTTGTAAAAAAACTCAAGGACATTATGTGATATTTTCTGTTCACTGCACTATTGTATGTTGATTTTCTTCAATTCCTCTGAATGCAATCCAATTTATTTCTCCTGTGTAGTGACTGTTTCCAATGCCGTACAATAAATGCATAAAGCAAAATTTTTACTGTATGAGTTAATCTAAATGCAAAAGAATGAGTAGTTTGGTTATTGAAATTAAAGGGAAAAACATAGGGAGAAGGATACAAGTGGCAGCGAAGATCAAAATAGTTTCTAGAGCAAGAAATGTTGAAATGAATGAGAGATATGACAGTAATAAAGTTATCTTCTTCTTCATTTTTGTTAGGGGTGTATTATTATGTTTTCTATACATCCTCTGAACATAGTATTTGATGGTTAGTGTTACCTATAGACAATAGCTATTCAAAGTTCAGTACATGCCTGTCTGTCTTAAATATATTGTGGATGCTTGCCCTGCTTAAGCTTAATTAGAACAAATAAAGATGTGTTAAAATTAATCATGGTGGGTGTGTTTTTGTTTATGCATTTGGATTTCAATGCAATTATGATGAAGTTATCATTATGAAGAGATTAAGCCTGGATTCTACTTTATTTGAGGATGAATGATGACTGGAAGATCAAGTCCATAAAATTTTTCCCTTGATAGGAAGTATGCTACCTTTTTTCAATGAAGATGCTACTCATTAGATTGATTAAATGATGCCTCTAGAAATTTTATAGCAGTTAGAGTTTGATACTCTGAACATTGTAGCCTTAAAAACTAAAAAGGAAAGAAAAAAAATTGCCTAATAGCATGTATGTACTTGGTGAAAGATTCTTATCTGGTTGTTATAATGCCTAATGTATCATATATTGCCATCCAGCTAGTATAATCTGGAAAATCTCAGATATGATAAAGAAGATGATAAAGAAAGAGGATATATCCTTCTATCCTTGCGTTATTTTACTTGACGATAGTTTGATCTAGGTTTTGAGGAACCTCTGTTTCTTTGATTTATTTTTTTTCAAGCAATGAAAAGACAATTACCGAATGTATTTGTTTTATAGTTGTTTTTATAGTTTTGAGGTTAGTGCTCTAATAACAGTGCCCTTCGATTTGAGTTACTGCAATTGCTTGAGGAATTTTTAGGTCTTCTGCTGTGAATTACAAAAGGCTTTCTGTTGGTTGTATTGTGGCCAAATGTTGTTTAGGTATTGATGCTTTCGCTTTAACTCTCCTATTATTTGTAATTTTTTGCAAAGAAGGCTTTTTCTTTCTAGATATTGAAGTAATTTCCATTTTCCATTAAGAATGCTTTCAATTGGGTTTCATGCCTTTTTGTCCATTTAGAGCATTATTCAACTTCATAATAGGTGGTGAGTTTTTAGAATTGCAACCCATGTAAGAAATTTAGTTATTCCTGAATATATTGAGTTATTAAGATTTATAAGAATATCAGGATAGAAATTTTGTTGTGGATTCAAATACTACAACTACTAAAGAAAATAAATGTTGTGCATTGCGACTCTTTGGTTTTCACTGCAAAAACAAGCCAGCAAAGTCTGTTTCTCATTTTAGGTTTAGCAGTTATCTTTAGCATAATCTAGGAGTATTAAAGTGTATATATATATATATATATTTTTATTTTTGGCCAACGCATTAAAGTGTATGATTGTTTACTAGAATTGCATCTGTTTCCTCAGTAAGCTAGCAAAATCTATCCAGCTTATCATAGTTGTAGGTCCATTGTATGTTGAACCGATGAGTATTTCTGCATTTTAGGCTGCTATTTTTACATAAGTGATCTGAAGACTGCCTCGAAACTAATTGAAGCATATGATGTTGGAAGCTAAGTGAAAGTTATGCTATACTTCCAGTGGCCTTAGTTTCAGTTGCCTTCTTGTACATTAGTTGTTAGTACTTTTACAATTTTTTTTTAATGCTGGTAGAGATTATCATTCATTCTGATAGTTGTATTTCAGATGCTGCTGTTACCATAAGCACTGCTCTAACATATTGCATCTTGCGAAGTTTCTGTTGACTACTGTCTTGCTGTTGCATGATGAAGTGTAATTGCTCAACTCAAGCTGAGCATCTGGTCAATGAGGCCCACATGATCAATGACCCTTGTATGTGATCTTTATTCTTTGCAGGTTAATTTGTTTATGTGCTTTGTTTGACCCATATCAGATTTTTGATGGCATTGTTGTTGAGTAAAAGGATTACATTTGCTTGATATTCTATTTCCATGTCTAGTAGTCATGCAATACATTACAAGCAGTTTTGTAAGATAGAGAAGGAAAGAGATTACATTATTGAAACTATTACATATTTGTGAGGATAGATCAGCCCTGGCTCTGGAAGGGCTTGTATGCCTTGAGACTCTGCACCAGTCCTTCAACAGATCCTGCTGCAGCGACAAGTGAAACTATCAAACAGGCCCAGCTGAGCACCTTCAGCCATGTCCAGGTAAAAGAATACTTTCGCATTTTTGTCTGTGCAATGTGCATCTCTATTGGAAAGTAGACTGTTAATGGCCAGAACGAGGCTGCTCCAATGAGACCCAGGAAGTCATTGAAGAATGGAAAGATCATCGCCACCACTGCCGTCATAATCACATATGCTGTCCTCCATACCAACCTGAAGAAGTTCATATAGTATACACCTATGAATGGAACTTCAATTGCATGCTCCCTTGTTATGAACTTATTTTCAGGCCATTTTTCAGAGCATTTGCTCTCAACAAACTGAAAGAGAGGCTGGCCGAAAACCTATATGGACAAGTATCGTGTTAGGCAGCACTTGATATATATACCAAATTAAGTTCCCAGGAACTTAATATATACCTGGTATGCACCAATAAGATGGATGGCAATGCAGACATTGGCCAAGTCAATTAGCCAAAAAGGCTCGTAGAATCCAAACCCAGTCAGGAAATTCCCCGGTGCATCGTTTCCAAATGCAGCATAACCCACGCAACCACAGAGGACATAGAAGATGGTGGTGGTTGAGACCCCAATACCTGACGCCCTCTTCATCATCTTGTTCTCCGGCGGGCTTGACTTCAGGGTATCCTGCAATGACGAGGGTGATTTAGTTCTTTAACCCTTTTTCCCAATCAGAAAACCAGTTTTTCAAAAAGACGTTAATATTTTTCTTATGAACGTAGGGCCATTGAAACATAGGTAGATTTAGACAAGACGTGTGGAATGGCAATCGTCTTCACTAACCAGAGGATGAAAACAAAAAGGCATGGTGGGCCAAAGAAAAAAGGTGGAAGAAACAATGGGCTTTCACTTCAATTTTTCTAAAGGTTCTGAGAAAAGCAGAAACAGTATAAAATGGGCTTTCACTTCTTTCTTTTTCTAAAGGTTCTGTGAATCATGGTCCACCCGATTTATATATGGTCCAGAAGGAATCTTTGTAAAGAAAAGTACACTACGCTTGAAAACCCAATCTCAATATCAATTAGGTTAGGCTTCAGCCCCACCGCTTAAAGGCAACTCCAATTTCAAGCAGGTTCGTTTTGTTTGGCTCATGGAGCCTTTTATTTTATTTTTTATTTTTTAATTATAACTTTTGTAAAAGTTGAATTAGACTCCTTCCGCGTCTGTCTTTAATTAACTTAATTTAATTTTTTTTAACTCTTTAAATATTAATTTTATATAAAAATTTAAGAAAATATATGTAATTTAATTATTGAGTGGTATTATCTGATAAATTTTTTTTGAAATGTCAGTTATTTATCATGTTAAATTTTTATTTAAAATTAATATTTAAAAAATTAAAAAAAAATCAAATTATGATAATTAAAACTAAAAAGAGATGGTACATATTTTTATAAACCATATGTACAATTTTCAGATATTAATAGAAATGATCAAATCAAACTCAAAATCTTGACAGAAAAATAACTATAAATTTTGTGGCTCTTGTTTCTCATAGTTTCAAAATCGAAAACATGCTTTGGAAAATTGTGTTACTTTTTTACAATAAAAATATATATTTTTAAAAGTTGAGCTAAACGCGTACAACTTTAAAATAACATTTTTTATTTTCGTTTCTAGAGTGCTAGGAATTCAAATGCAAAAATTCATAATCATTTTATAAGTTATATTGACAAGAAAACTGAAAAAGATATGGTTAGGTTAAGTGTTTTCTCGTTAGGTGTCTCAAATTTTTTCATAAGAAATATACATAAAATGACATGGACAAAGCTTTCTTTTATGATAATACAGAAAAAGGAA